GTTCTCGGAGTTTTAGGGTTAGAGAGTTTATACCTTCGGGGTTGGCGACGGATGCTCGTGGATCGAGAGCAATAATCAATTATAATCAACTAAAATTAATTATAGTTAATAATTACTAACTACAATTAATTATAATAAATTATAATCAATGAGAATATATTGCATATATTTATTTAGAATTAATTATAAGTATTTATAACTAATTCTAATTAATTATAATTAAATAATAACTAATTATAGTTAGCTATAATTAATTATCTTTAACATAACAAATCGTAATTAATATTAATTATAATTAACTGTAAATAATTATAACTAATACTAATTAACTTTAATTAATGAGTAATTAATTATAACCAATATAAACTAGCTATAATTAATTTGTCTAGATAGAGAGAGACTACATAAATCTGAATGGAAAGTGCTCGGGTGAATAACTAGGGCAGAGGACCTGGGTTCGGTCGGCAAGAGAGATCGGGCTTGGGAGACGTCGGCTACAGGCAGAGGAAGAAGGGAGATCAAGGTCTGTGGAGCTCGGTCGGATGGAGATAGGTTTCTCACTCCCTCTCTCTCTCTCTCTCTCGACCGAAGTGATCGGAAGGAGCAAAGGGGAACGACGGGATGGGGGAATCGGAGGAAGAGCTCGGTTTGGGTAAAGCTTCCTTTCCCTTCTCTCTCTCTCTCTCTCTCTTTCTCTCTGTGTTGGATCGGGCTGGACGGGAGGAGGCGAGCTCGCCTGGGTGAAGTCGGAGGAGGTTGAGTGGTTCGGCCGACTGGAGGTTCGGCACAGAGAAGGTGGACGTTTGGGATCGGAAGCTTGGAGAGGTCTGCTGAAGGAAGTGGGAGAGATCGGGAGCAGAAGAAGAGCTTTCGCGTGGAGGAGGCGAGTGGGAGGAGAGAGCAGAGCGAGGCTTCATTTGGGTCGGTATTTAACGACACGAGCGGAGCTACGGATCGCAGAATTTGAGCAGGATTTACGCCTGATTTTCGGGATACGACGCAGACGGCGCCGAACGACTGGATTTGCGGAGGAATTCGTGGATCCAGCAGTTTTACAGGTATTTTGATTTGATTTTTTTTTGTTCCTGCTGGGTTAATGCTTAGAGGTCAACAGCCTCAGCCAAGTTGAGGCGCAAGCCATATAAAAAGGTTCGAGGCGTAAGCCTCGAGGCGTTTTTCTATGGAATTACGTAGAGGCAAGCTTCAAGACGAGCCTCATATTTCGCAATTTGAACAATGGCTTTCCTTTTGGCATTTGCATCCTCTAAAGGTCACACCAACATCGTAGATTGCGAACCTTACTACAACCTATTTTGCATGCATGCTTTTCATCTCAAGCACTCTATCTCACGCGTTCTTATCACGCCATGTCAATCACAATCGCAGATCTCATGTTGCAACATACACCAACATCTTTTAACTGATAGTGGTATCCTACATAAGTCACGACATTCACATGAACGTCAGCTTCCACATCTTCTCATTTTAGCCCTTCACTTTTTGGCCCAGGAGCCTGCGCAATAAAATTTCTCTTGCAAGAACTCAAGTAATTTTGATCTGCCCCGCCTATCCCTCTGTCAAATTCTTCTAAAAGTAAAGAACATGGTTGAGTAATCCTTACCATAGGTGTTTTATCTAGCTAACCCGAATGCCCCTTTTCAATTATCTTTGGCCTGATTGGGTTTGAATATCAATTGTCTACTGTCAAATTGATCTTGCATGAGGTTCACTTTGGTTTTCTCTCAATGCATGGTATTTACTTTCTTTCACACTACTTCATCAAACAAATAAAAGCTCATGCAAAATTGATGGTCATACCATGCTTCTGAGTCTTTGTAGGTCATGTCCAGTACCTTTGAATCACAAGTGGCCATGCTTTAGGCTTCTTAAACATTTAGTTGAACTAGTTTATTAGGCCCTATGCTTGTGAATGAGCCAGCTTTAATCTCCAAATGCACATCTTTAACACACTTTTCCACCTTGGTTTGTTAGGGATAATTAAGATGAGGTAGCTCATGATTTTTAATTAGGCTTCTTAAATATTACAAATGAGAATTTGACTCTTAATAGGACATAATGGAAAAAAAAAAAGATTCATATAGCCAATCCCACAGGCTTTTTGTTGTTGTAACATTACAGCTCGAACCCCTTTGGTGTTTGTCAACCATGTCTAATGGTAGGTCGTAGATGATGAAATTATGAGAAATTTATTGGGTTTACCACCATTTCTTTAGAGATTTTACATTCAACATCCAATCAAATTTTACTTTAAATATTTGAGCCTAGCAACCTTCTTAATTGAGGGTGCTTTATTGTGAGTGTAAGTGGTAATTAACTGTGAAACTTGCATGTAGAGGAATTCTCGACTGTAGATCTATTTAAACTCTAACCCCACAATTAGGCGAAATATGATTAACTATACTTGATTCCCCTCAAGAAAAACTACTCTAGAGTCCTCTCACACATTGAGGAGGCTTGGTAAGGTGTTTGGATTTTCCTAAGAGATCACTTAAGAATTGAAGTACTGAAGTGTTTACGTTTATCTTAGGATTAATGTGCAAGGTCACTTGTGCAAATCCCAAACTTTTGAAAACCGGAACGGATCGACCAGTTCGATCAGTTCAACTGTGAACTGGCCAAAATTGCCGGTTTAACCGACAAACCGATGAATCGATTCTGATTCCTTTGAACCGGCCGGTTCAATAAATTATTTAAATAATTACATAAATGAATTTAATATATTTATAATAAATATTAGCATTAACATATTAATTTATAATTTAATTTATTTTAATTTCCTAAAACAATTAATTGTCAAAGAAATTCTAAGTATTTCATATGGCTTCATCACTCCATGTGACTTCTTACGACATGTAAACTCAAAGCAATATAAACAATATCAAGGGGTTGTTTCCAAGTGATGTTTTGTTAAATGTGAATTAATGTTAAATATTGAAGATATTTAAATTTAAAATTACATAGGATGTTAGTAATGTATAAATTCATTTTTTTTAAATTCAGTTTGTTTTTTAGTAAAAAATTTATATTCTTACATAATTATTCTGTCATTTAAATTTTATTTAAATAATTTTCATATTTATTATGCCATCCGATTCGACCCGAACCATTGAACCCTAAATCTCTTCTTTTTCCGGTTCTAAATCATTACCGGTTTTCACGACCTTGTAGATTCTTGTTTGTAGCATAGAAGAAAAATCTAATCAACAAAAGAAAATCTTTTTTTATCAGCAAAACCTTTAATCCATGTAGGTTAAAGATAAGCTATGGCAGTTCAAAGCAGATTTTATTTATTATTGATTAAATAAAAAATCCATTACATTCATTTAAAGAGCAAGTGCTCTGGGAACATAATTAATTTGTTCAGATATTTGATTGGTCAACTCAGATAAGCCAATAAATATGTTCAGACGTGTCTAATCTATCCACGTTTGTTTGATCTGTTTGAATTTGCTTGAGTTATATATTGTGCACCGAATCCAATAGTTCGTCAAATTTCCGACAAAATATCTGGTTGACCGTACTTCATTTAGATAAGCAAATAGGCATAACATCTCAACAACCAAGGCTTTTTGCTTGGTTTGGATCCGCTTGATCTAAGAAAATTCACATGTTGAGAACCAAGGCATTAAGACTAGTGCCTGACATGGCCATCCATTTAATTTGAACTGAGTCATTTGAACTCAGTAACCGACGAGACAAAATTTCTAGGTAATTATTCGACATGAAAAAGGTGTGTTTGTTCAGAATGTTCCAGTAAAGAGATAGTAAAATGCCTTATCATAAAGGACATCATGATTCATCTCATGCCATGTTTCAACCTCTATATTGTGCCTCTTTGAGGTATTTTAAAATCCTGAATAGAAGGAATATTAAGGGCCCTCTCAGGATGCCATCTGCTTGCAATTTGTAACTATATGTATGCAGGGTTCTTTCTATCTAACTATTGCTTCATCTATACTCTAAAAACAAAATATATAAAACAATCCATTAAAATGTCAATTTCATCACAAATGGGAACAAGTAGGTTTTCTAGCATTCTATTAATTAGGTCGATTTGACTATTTAAATAAATGACATCATTAATGACAAGGAAGTCTTTCTAACCATGTGGTGTTTGCTTTGAACAACTAAGTGGTACTCCAAATGCATTTTTAGCCTTTTATGTTATCTTGAATATCTATGAAGCAACCATAGTATGATACTTTGTCAACTACTTGTTTTATATACTTTTATATACATGTTGAAATTATAATTTACTTGTGAAACTTTAATGATGTATACCTATCTTCAACAATTCATTTTATCAATCTAAGAAAAATACTGAATTGGTTTGCGGAAGAGCCATTTTGATTACTCCATCTTTTCTTTTCTTTTTTTCATTTTGTTGATACTGTTGAAACTTTATGTTTGCTAGTATGGAGTCGTGGAAAATGAGACAACTGAAACAAGCACATCAGGATGTGGTGAGGACACTAACTAATTATTATTTGGCATTATGAGCCTGTTTTTGACTAACAGTATGCCCTTCTCTAATAAATTTATGTCACTTCAGGTTCACTTATTCTTGAAATGGGGGCACTATCACGGTTAACTGGTAATCCTCGGTACGAAAATGCTGCACGTCATGCTCTTCAAAAGTTATGGAGTATGAGAAGTTCTTTAAATCTCTTGGGAACTACTCTTGATGTTGTCACTGGAGAGTGGATTGAATACTCATCTGGAATTGGAGCTGGTACATTCTTGTATTAAAGTGCATCTCCATGAAGTTTCACTGCGTAAAATATGCCTAATCAAAACAGCTCAATTATATTTAAAAGGCCAATAAACAAACATTTCATTTTCAGAAATAAAAGTTCATGTTTTCCTATACATTTTCTTCACCACAATGGACAATTTTGACCTTCTCTGCTTTCAGTACCAACCTTATCTTGGGGATTCAAATAACTTTATCAATGATCTATTAATGTAGAGAGATAAAAGTCTTTTTCGCTTCATCATATTTTGAGGTCAAAGACATAATTTTTCTGTTCCTTCTGGCATGCCAAGACTAGGTTATTCCACTATATTGTCCACTAAAAAGGTGAGGAGATGAGCCAGGCAAAAATTTGATGTTGAACACATAATTTCTCTGTTTCTTCTGTATGCCAAGACGAGCATGTTCATCAAACGATATTGTCCGCTAAAGGGAGAGGAGATTAGTCGGAAACAAAAGGATCAGGGAGGCAGATAAGATTAATAAGGGCTGTTTTGGGGAAGGGAATGAGCAATCTTCTGCTTTAAGGCTAGCAAATTAGCTGTTTGATTATTGGAGGACTTTTTTTCTTTAATTGTTTTTTTTTCATAGTTCTTTCAAGCCTATGATGATGTACCTATGTATGACTTGCAGGTGTTGATTCATTCTACGAATATTTGTTGAAGGCCTACATTCTGTTTGGAAGCGATGAGTTCTGGGATATGTTTCACTCAGTTTATCTTGCTGTACAAAAATATTTCCGTCATGGTCCATGGTGCAACATCTATTCTGGTTTGCCAGAATGTTTCAGTTTTGCTTAATTATTTGTACTTCATGTATTAGTTTGCTCCACCTTTATGAAAGCCTAAATTTAAACAAGCTAAGAAATTATAGAAAACACTGGATGCACTTTTTGCACGAGTATTTTGAAAAGTGGTGGGAATTCCTTTAGGACATCGTGTGAACCGCCTGGTCATTAGTTAGAGAGCAAATCCTGTTTCTAGATCTTCTGAATACCGCGTTCTGTGAGTTAAAACATCTATAGTTTTCATGTGTATTTTCTGCTCATTAATCATCTGCATAACCGTTGACCTTCCAAGTGTAGATCCAAGCTTGCCTCCAATACCTGTACGTCTCTGGACTTTTTAAAGGAAAGATCATAAGCCTCTTCTGTTAATAACAATTTAGTGAAAAAACTCAGGAAGAAACAAACGAGCATACAAGTCAGTTTCTGTTCTCAAAAAGATGTCTACTTTTTTCATCCAAACTTTTCAATTTTATTCGGTGGTTGGAATGACATAGTTTTATACTCTGTATTTTAGCATTCCAAGAGAATTAACTGAAATTTAAGTACTTATTTGCCGGATAAAGTGTTGTTCTACGTAAGGTTTATGATTTCAAAATCATGCAATGCAATATAAATAATCGACAACGTAATGAATTATTTAAAAAATTTCGTGCACTGATGTAAGGCAGTTGCATAACCTGGCATGTAATTTCCTTAGGAAGCAGTCTAACATACAAAATATTCATCACTATTGGTGAAAATGAGGAATAGACAGAATCCATATCCTTTGAAATAGGAGATGGATTCCTTGTTAAAAGATATATTTACATGTGGTGTTATTTTTGGCAAACACAACCATTAACTACTTAATAAGAGACCGGGCTCTAAATGAGGAATAGACAAAATTCATATCCTTTGAAATAGGAGATGGATTCCTTGTTAAAATATATATTTACATGTGGTGTTATTTTTGGCAAACATAACCATTAACTACTTAATAAGAGACCGGGCTCTGAATATTTCCACCGTGCTCTTTTAATATATATATATATATATATATATATTTATCAAGCATGTTATGATTCTTAGACTTGGCCATTGGAAACATGTTGGCTTTGACTATAACAATATTATTGTCATGATCCAACCCGATTTGACTCATGCCACCACATAGGTCATACCATGCCCGATCGTGAGTCATGCGAGTCATGTGGAGATGATGACAAACTTGATCAAATCCTATGATTTTATTATCCGTACTTTTCGTGAACTTTATTCTACTTAGGTAGTGAAGATAGTAGACCCTACTAGTTGAAGGATCTTCGTCAACAATCATATGTTACATAATCGAAAGGGATCTTGTAAACCTGGGGTAGAGATTTGTCAAAGGGTCTAATTTAGCTGACTTTGGCTAATTAAGTGCTTTATGCCTTATCAAGCATGTTATGATTCTTAGACTTGGCCATTGGAAACATGTTGGCTTTGACTATAACAATATTATTGTCATGATCCAACCCGATTTGACTCATGCATTTTGCTAGGTCATACCATGCCCGATCTAACTTAAAGTGAGTCATGTGGAGATGATGACAAACTTGATCAAATCCTATGATTTTATTATCCGTACTTTTCGTGAACTTTATTCTACTTAGGTAGTGAAGATAGTAGACCCTACCTAGTTGAAGGATCTTCGTCAACAATCATATGTTACATAATCGAAAGGGATCTTGTAAACCTGGGGTAGAGATTTGTTGAAGGGTCTAATTTAGCTGACTTTGGCTAATTAAGTGCTTTATGATTCTTAGACTTGGCCATTGGAAACATGTTGGCTTTGATTATAGCAATATTATTGTCATGATCCAACCCGATATGACTCATGACACCACATAGGTTATACCATGCCTGATCATGGCAATAAGCAGAGACTGACCTCAAGATTTAGTTGTAGAAATGCTGATAATCTGAATCATCTAAATTATGTACAATATAGAGATACTACTGAATATAAATGTAAAGCGGAAGTTTACTGAATCTCATAAATGATTTTCTATATATCAAATCATTTAAAAATATATTTATAATATGAGATCTATCTATAACAGCGTTTAACAACAGGAAAGTACAACAAATAAATGCCAAGTATGACAAAAAAGAAACTAACCAAAATACGTACCTGTAGTACAGATCTGAGCCTGATATTAAAAACTATTTTGCTCGCTCTTTACCCTTTTTCTTATCTGAAAATAGAAGCAAAAGTAGGAGTGAGCTAACATAGATCAATATGCTACAATAGCCTAAAACGAGAATCAATAACTTAACCCAAAGGAGCTTAAAAATACTGAAATATTATATGGAAACTAAAATAGAAACTGACATTAATACTAAATCGAAATAAACATTTAAAAAATTATTCAAACTGATTGAAATATAAACAAATACCTCATAACAAATATTGGAATGACCTTTAGGCCATAACTTTCAATACATAATAAATAAAAGTATCTCTTCTCGCCGCGAACAAAATATCTTCTTAATAAATGTCAAAATAGCCCTCTCAAGCTCTAGAATTTCCAACACATATAATAACTCTACACAAACATATTTCCTTCACTCCGCCAATAGAAATTCTTTTCAGTTTTCACACAATTCACATATTTTAAATGCAGATATTGAAAATAAACCGCATTTTACATTGCTGAAGTGATTACAATGTTATTGTATAATTATATAAAATGCTCTTAAGACTATCAAAATAATTTTTCACCCGGTGTTCTACAGTTTACCAAAACTATAATTTTTTAGAATTCTATCAAATTACAAGAGAATGTGTATAATAGCTTTCTAAAGTTTGAACTGAACTAAAAAATTATTTTTAGATGTCAAAATGAATCTCTGAATTTATAAAAATCGCTACTTTTCAAAATCACATGGAGAAAAATATGGAATAAAAACCCAATTTGCGATGATGTGAGCTTATTTGGGTAGATCGAGCAAGCTGAAATTTATTATTAGTTTTTATTGAATAAATACTTTCTAGGATATGGGTCCTATCTATTCTTGTCCTTGATACATATATGATCAAACTCCGTAAATTTATCATATAAGTCCAGTTGACTCCAAACGGTGCATAAAACACTGGCTTGGAATCCAAAGGAAAGTCCATTGCTTATAAATCTTAAGTGCAAATCTAAACTAATAGAGTAACAACCATTGTTGAAGGAGAGATCTAAACATTTGAATTGTTGTTTTTGTTCTTTAACATTGGATTTCCTTAGATTTGGATAAGCCTTCAAATTCTACTTTATATTAATATTCATGAGATTGAGCGAATCTATACCCTTTTAAGTGGAGAAATAATTTCCATTTTAGGGGTGTAAGCGAGCCGGCTCGAGCTCGACTCTTTAATCGGCTCGTGAGCTCGCGAGCCGGCTCGAATCACTATTATTATTTTTTAAATAATTTTATTTTATTTATTAACTTTGAATATTAAAAAAATTAAGAATAAATGCTAAACCTTTTAAAAATTTTGCGGTGTTGACTACAATTTTAAATATCCTACTAGCCAATTTCGCTATTCGAGGCGGACTGCACACGTGTAAGCGTATTGGAGCTCGAAAGGCGGATGATCGCGGGCATGGAGTTCTAAAACTATAGGTTCGAGGTGGATTGGCGGATTGCACGCATGTATTGGAGTTCGCAGACCACGGAGGCTCACGAGTTATCGTGCGAAAGGCGGATTGGACTGTGGAAGATCGAAGTTCGCGGACTGCTGGAGGCTTGCGAGCCGCTCGAGCTTGTTTACAATGAGACAAGCTGAGTTCGAGCTCGAGATTCGGCTCACGAGTCGAGCTCGAGTTGGGCCTGACTCGAGCTCGACTCGTCTCGTTTATACCTCTATTCCATTTTCACCAGAACTTTGGCCATAAATTGTTTAGAAAGGCTAGTAGTTTTATTATCCATTTCTCATGATTTACCAAATATAGATCACAATCGTTATAGAGTGGATTGATTAATATAATGTAATGGACCCGGGAAAAGCCTCCCAGACAAGGGTGATAGATTGTTGCTTGGAAGCATCCAAATGGGGAGACCATGTAAGCATGCCCATAGAATTGCCACTAACATAGTAAATTCATTGAGAGAAGACTCTTATGTAATCCTTGTTTTTAATGATAGTCTTATAATGAAATGGCCTACTGTGTGATAGTAAAGTGATGATGAAAGAGATGAGGATATTATTAGTAGAATTTATGCTGGATGGTTGAAGTGGAGGAATGCATTTGGTTTGTCGTGTGATAGAAAAATAACCCTCAAACTTAAGGAAAATTTTTATAAGATGGTGATGAGGCCTACAATGCTTTATGACGTAGATTATTGTCCATTAAAAGAGAAGCATAAAATTAAGTTAAGCGTTGCAAGGATGAGGATGCGTAGGTGGATGAGTGGCTTTACACTCAGACACAGAATGCAAAATGAGTATATATGTGGAAAGGTCGGTGTAGCTCCAATGGTAGATAAGATTAGAGAGAGTTGCCTCAGATAGTTTGGTTAAATAAAACGTTGGCCTTTTGATGACATCATTCAGAGAGTAAATGTATTAGATACAGTCTATGTTAAGAAAGGTAGAGGGGGACCTTAAAAGATTTGATTAGAAAGTATTAAAAAGGACATTTTATTATTAGATATAAATGAGAATTTAACTTTTAATAGGGCATAATAGAGAAAATTTATTCAAGTTACTAATTCCATATAGTGGGATAAATGCTTTTTTTCTCTTATTGTTGTTATCTTATAATAATATGATGAGGATCAGTGGGCCTAACCAAGTATTCTTCATCCAAGTGTAAAAATAACTTTAATTTTTGAGTAACATCCTGTTTATTGGATACGCAAGGAAAATTTGCCCATAGCAAAAAAAGTAGTAGTTTATCTAGATCAAAGATCTCATCATCAAAGAAAATAAGAACATGCTCCCTTGAAATGCAGATGATTACTTATGTTGAAGCGGAACTAAGTCTTAATAAAAATATGAAGGGAAACTTATGAAAGAAGTGGGTTGCAATTCCGAATCCAACAACCCACCCACAATTTTGTGAAGAAACGAGAAGTGAGAACAACATGAAGAACATTATCCGATGATATAAAAGTAGGAGTACTTCCGAGATGACAACACCTATCAAAACATTTGGTGGTGATGGGAGATTAAGAGAGAGAGGGAGGGGGCAATGAAACCCTGGGGACTACTGCAAAGGTCTTCGACATAAGCGTTGGAATTAAGGAGAAGGAAAGCCAAATTGCATTATTCACGAGAGATGGTAGCATTAGTAGGTAATGTGGAAGTCGTCCAGAGGGGAGAGCAGTAATTAGTAAGAGAGATTGCAGAGCCATAGTCTTAGATGGCCCATCATCAGCCATCACCACATCATAATGGAAGCCCAGGTGTGCCTTGCATATGGTAATAGGAAAGAACCATGTTGCATGCTCACACTAGCATTACTGACACCTAGAATATTTGCGAGGGAGAAATTATGCATACTAGCACAAAACAACATATGCCTCTCGAGGAAAAGTTGAAACCCTCGGGACTAGTGCAAAGGTCTTCGACATAAGCGTTGGAATTAAGGAGAAAGAAGCTAAATTGCATTATTCGTGAGAGGTGAGGGCTTAAGCAGGCAATGCGGAAGTCTTTCAGAGGGGAGAGCAGTAATTAGTAAGAGAGAAATGTCGTAGGGCCATAGTCTTAGATGGCCCATCAAAAGCCATCGCCACATCACAATGGAAGTGCAGGTGCACCTTGCAAACGGGCATGGGAATAAACCAGACCTCATGCTCACACTAGAGCATTATCGGTTCACGTGAATTGTTTGCGAGAGAAATTATGCATATTGGCACAAAAACAACAGATGCCTCTTGAGTAAAAGTTGAACCGATTAAAAATCAATTTGAATATATTTTAGGCTGGATTGAAATCAAGAGCTCAATAACCTTTGTTTTCAATAATTAATTACAAAAAAAAGAAGTGTCTACTCAGAAATTATGTGATCTGTGAGAAGTTTCAATTGATTATATTCTACCCTTTTGGCGTTTTTGTAGACCAAAAAAATTTCTTTTAATATTTAACAACATATGCATTTTTGAATTGGTTCTTATTTACTGCGCTACTTATAGTTATCATATGCACGCATATAGAGTATTTGTTTTTCAACATGGAGTTATTCCTAAAAGTCAGGTGTCAAGTGCGAAGTAAATTTCTATAAATAGACTGGTAAAAAAAACTTTATCCATGAAATTTTGCTGTGAAATTTAGTTTGATTCTATATGAAATTCTGTTTATTTCCACTTATGTTTTCTTTCCTGATCTTTCCTTATTTCTCAATTTCAGGTACCACGAAGCTGACATGAGGACTGGGAGGGCTACCTACTGGCAACTGACAAGCCTTCAAGCATTTTGGCCTGGTCTTCAGGTTGTTAGTTAGACTGCTAAATACATTTTAGGATACTGGATAGCCGCAGAACATTTGGTAATATTTACTCTTTAAGCTTCTGTAAACAGATTCTTATTGGAGATGTAGCTGCTGCCAATGCATCACATCGTGAATTTTATCATGTATGGGAGCGTTTTGGTGTTTTACCAGAAAGGTTGGCTGGTCTTTTTCTTTAACACATGAGCTGTGCTATATAAGAGCATTTGATATGTTTCTCCTAGAACAGAAAAAATGTTGATGATTAATGATCCAATTATCCAGATGTAGTGCTAGCTCTTAAATGAATATGTGTGAACTGCAATTCATGTATGACCGCATTTTCCATGTGTAATGTGTGGAAGACATTGTTACCATTCTTTCACTTTAGAGGCATACCAAGCTGAGTTACTTATAGTAAATAATTTTTCAGGATTTATAATCTCCCGGGTACTTAAAACATGGGAATAAAAGAAAAATAGTCGGCAGAGCATTGCACATGGTATTTCTGGTAGCATAAAATAAGTAGAGAAGTTGGAAGTTTTTTTTTTTTTTTTAACAATATTTTCTTAAGTTCAAAATGCTTGGAGACCTGAGGTTATGTTACCATGAATAAAGGATTCAAACATTTAACTGGGACTGGCATAATTTAGGTTGTTCAATCTTTCACTAAAAGGTTAACACTAAAATCAAGTAATATAAGAATCTAGCTTTGTGGATGTTGTTTTTTTACTTTGAAATGATTCGTAATTCATGATTCATTGTCTTTCTTGAAGAATCAATATGTATCCTGATGCGGACATCCGACGATGGACGTTACTCAATGGAATAGACGATGATCAACGGCCGATATCACTCCTTTTTTTTTAGTTTATTAATTGTATTTTGATTTAATTTTGCATTTATCATTTTTACCGTTATTTAAGAGTCTTGTCTTATGTAAGCCCAAGGGAAAAAGTTGTCGTTTTTAATTCCTTTTGTTTTTAGGCCTATATATATATAAAGGTCATTGCTCTTGTATTAGGATGATGAATTATTAAGAAAAGAAATTTATTTTTACTCTTTTGTTCTTTGGGAGGACGTTAGTAGGAATCCCTATGGAGGGAATTGTGGTTTTCACCAGCCGCAGGATGGGTCCGAGCTCGTGGCTTGAAGTCCAGAGATCTAAAAGATGGAACTCACAAAGAGAACGCAAAAAGCAAATTTTCATTAACCATTCATCATCCCATTACATAAGAAAGGGCCTTTATATATAGGCCTAAGAAACTAAAACAAGACACATATGCCCCTAAGGCTTACATAGGACGACCCTCTTAAGTGAGGGTAAAAACGGAAAATTCATAATAAAAATTTAAAAAATACAAATAAAATATAAGATAACGTGGGACGATGACAGTCGTTGATCTTCAGCTCCTCGGATAGCCATGGACGGTTGGATGTCCGCATCACTAGCTTTGTGGATGTTGATTTTTTACTTTGAAATGATTCGTAATTCATGATTCATTGTCTTTCTTGAAGAATCAATATGTATCCTGATGCGGACATCCGACGGTGGACGTTACTCAATGGAATAGACGATGATCAACGGCCGATATCACTCCTTTTTTTTAGTTTATTAATTGTATTTTGATTTAATTTTGCATTTATCTTTTTTACCCTTATTTAAGAGTCTTGTCTTATGTAAGCCCAAGGGAAAAAGTATGTAAGCCCAAGGGAAAAAGTTGTCGTTTTTAATTTTTTTTTTAGGCTTATATATATATAGGGCCATTGCTCTTGTTAGGATGATGAATTATTAAGAAAAGAAATTTGTTTTTACTCTTTTGTTCTTTGGGAGGACGTTAGTAGGAATCCCTATGGAGGGAATTGTGGTTTCCACCAGCCGCAGAATAAGTCCGGGCTCGTGGCTTGAAGTCCCTTGGTGAAGGGCATCGTATCACCCGTCAGTCTTCGGAAGAGTCCAAGGCTCGCGGTTCTCTATCTTTTTTCTTTGTTTTGTTTTTTCCTTATTTCCCTAAACCACCACCTCTTCAAGCCCTCCACCGAGGCGCCGATCATCTCACCCCCATCACCTGCACACCATCGGCCTACACCAGCCCCTCCCTTCCTCCACCCTCCCCTTGGCCGAAATCCAACATGGCTCCACCCACCCGCCGGCCAACCTCCTTCCCTAGCCCCACTTCCCTAAAAAAAATCCCTCTTCCTTTTTAAGTTGTCATTAATTTGGAAAGATTTTAAATTAAAATTAATCTAATTTGAATTTCAAATCCATCCTCATTAATTACCTTATTTTTGGAAACCTCTTTCATTCAATTAATTAATCAATTCTGAAATTGATTGATTAATTAATCCCTAGTCCACCCCTAGTCTCCCCTCTCTCTCTTGGCCGGCCCCATACCCATGCCCTCTTCAAATTTCTTCCCAAATTAGATTAATGATTATCTTTGAAAGGTTTTGAATTCAATCCAACACAATTTAAAATTCAAATAATTTCCTAAATTAATTGATCTATTTTAGGAAAGTCTTTATATCAATTCCAATTCAGTTCAAATTGGATTTGAATAAAATTCTCTCCCTCAATTTAAGACTATTGAATAGGCAAGCTTTAATTCCACCCCTCCCTCTCTCTTATTTTAATTAATGCTTCTCCATTAAGGCCCCCAATCTCTTTCCCTTTGAGGGATTAATTAAGTACCCTTCCCTCCTTTTCCCATTTAATTTGAAATTCAAATTTCAAAATTTCCCCCCACCCAATCTGTTCTACATCATATCCTTTCGCCATATCAGTGCATATGATTGTGTCACTAGCTAAATTTCCAAGGCTAAGCTATCTAGGATAGCACACATTCCTAAAAATTTATGTTTGTTGTTTTGGTATGAATTGACTTGCTATATAACCATAGCAATAACAATTCTCAAGTTCATGATGTCAGTAATATTTTACAGACCTCGTCATGAGTGAGTTTAATCTTCTTAGTTTAACAAATACTATTACTATTATTGCCAAACTTAATTTATATTATGGTTTTATTTTTAATTCATTGATTGGTAAATAGTTTATTTTGTTCTTTTTATGCAAATTGTTGGGATGTTAGTGCTAGTAGTGCATGTTTGATTTATATGTAACTTATGCGATGTACCTTGATTTGAAAGATTTATTTGATTTTGAAGATAATTAGATATATATGAGAGTGAAAATAGTTTCACATCGAAGTAAAATGAGAATAGAGTCCCCAATATTCCATCAGTGATACTTATTAGCCTAAGCTATTGGGTTGATGGGTGTTTATCTACTAGTTTATTGGCCTCAACTTGGCACCATGACGTTCCATTCTCCTAATAGATGGTATTAAAGTTGATGGGTCGACTAGAGTTGTGTTTTTTATGCAGTTTAGGGCTTTTATTGGTCTTGGTTGTTTCTATCATGATTGAGCAAGTTTAAAGGGCGAGTGACGCCCATGTAGTCTCCATATGTTTGAGCAGGCTTTTGGTTTGTAACATTTGATAATATTAAAAAGCTAAGCCCCATGTGATGTAGAACGGATATGGGGGAGGGGGTCATTTGAATTTGAATTTCAAACTAAATGGAAAAGGGAGGGAAAGAGTACTTAATTAATCCCTTAAATGGAGTTCCATTTTTTTGAAAGGAATTAATTAAAATAGGAGAGAGATTGGGGGCCTTAATGGAGAAGCATTAATTAAGTAGAGAGAGGAGATAGGAGAGAGGGGGTGGCGAGTAGAGAGAGGGGGTGGCGCGTAGAGAGAGGAGAGGGTTTAGGGAAAGAGAATTAAAGTGGGCCTTGACTGGAATCCGAAATTGAGGAAGATTAATTGAAATCAAATCCAATCAAAAAATTTATTGGACCTAATTTAAACAACTTTCCTAAAATAAGAATCCTAATTTAGGAAACAAATTGAAATTCAAATTAATTTGATTTTTGAATTCGAATTCGTTACCAAATTAAAATGTATAAAATAGGAAGGCTTTGAATACAAGATAAAATTATGGGAGCCAATGGAGGAAAGAAGGTGGCCGACGGCTATGGAGGTATTAGGGTTAGGATTTGTGAGGGTGTTGGCGGTTTGGAGGTGGGGGGAAGATGGTCGGTTAGGTTTAGGAGGGGGATGGGGAATTTCGGTGGGGAAGAAGAGAGGGTTGTGGGAAGAGTCTGGCGGGTTTGGGTGGAGGAAGGGATGAAGCTGGAGGGATTGGAGAGAGGATGGAGATGGCGATTAGAAAAAAAAAATAAGGAGAAACAAAAACAAAGAAAATCGTGAGCCCTGATGCTTCCTACGACTGACAGGTGTTGCGTTGCCCTTTACCAAGGGAATTCAAGCTACGAGCCCGGACCCATTCTGTGGCTGGTGGAAACTACGATTCCCTCCCATAAGGGATCTCACCAAAGTCCTCCCAAGGAACAAAAGTGTAGAACAATTTTTTTATTAGAACTCCATCATCCCATTACACTACAAGGGCCTCTATATATATGCCTCATAAATAAAAGAAACTAAAATAAGACTATCATGGCCCTAGGGCTTAATAAGATTAGACCCTTAATTAAGGGTAAAAACGGAAATATATAATTAAAATAAAAATTTAAGATAACGTAGGACAATTATGGCCGTCGATCTTCATCTCCTCCTCGGATAGGCATGGACGGTTGGATGTCCGCATCACCATGTGATTGAATGGGCTCTTAGTACATAATATTTGATGATATTAGAAGTGTTTCATTTGAGGAGTGATGGCTAATATAGGGAACCATCAGGTCGGGCGAAATTATTAAGATGTACCTGATAGTAAAATAGTTCTACAACATAAATGAAACATGAGTCCTAATATTACTATAGTGAAATTTACCCATTGGCTTAAATTTTTTGACAGATTGATGTCCATGTACTAGAATTTTGGGTTTGTCTCTGTCGTTGGTTTTCCAACTTAATTGAAGAAAGAAAACAATAATAACATACATTCTCTGTCTTCTCCTGCTTTCAAGTAGAAATATATTTTACTTTTGACTAAGTCATGTTGATTACTTGCTCACAATAGAATGTGATATGTAGTTTTCTTGTTATCATTGGTTCTCCCTTGTTTTAACGCCCAGCTTGTTCCCTTGCTTACCTCTCTGATGACCAAATTGATGTTCTACATTACAGATATCTTTTGGATAGGAATGTGTTGCATCCAACAGAGAAATATTATCCATTGCGACCTGAACTGGCAGAATCAACTTTCTATCTTTATCAAGCAACTAAAGGTCAGCTTATGTTTAAATTTTACTTTCTTATACATAGGTACAAGATGCAGTCCGAAGCTACTAGGAGCCATTATTTTGTCCCTTTTTTGGTCATAATGCTAATATTAAGTACTTGGGATATTTCATATTTGAATTTGAAGAGAAATATTATGCAATTTAAATGATATTGAATAAACACCTGCATATTTTGGAACTGTTTCACTGTTATGATTTAATGATATTTAATTGAAAAGAAATGAAACTCCATGTGGCCTAACCAATTTGTTATCTTTTCTGATCGGAAAAGGTACCATTTTCTCTTCAACAATGAGAAATCAAATACAAAATTTTCTTGATTTGTTTCTTCTAATGCAAGAACATTTTTGATGAAAAAAAATTTGGGGCAAGATATTCTAATACAAATTGTATCAAGATGTATCGTTGGATTTGTTTTGAAATTAGTATTACATGAAGAGTTTGTATTGTACTAATTTCAAAACAAACATAATGTCTTTAAACCCGTCCTAATGTAATTTTATCAGTATATTCTGACATTTTTTTTTTCTTTTCCTTTATTAGGAATTTTGAGCTATCTTGGTTTCTAGTTTGCAAAGACGATCATGCCCCTAGGGCTTACATAAGATAAGACCCTTAAGTAAGGGTAAAACTGGAAAATGCATAATTAAAATAAAAATTTAAGATAACATAGGACAATCAGGACCGTCGATCTTCAGCTCCTCCTCGGATAAGCATGGACGGTTTGGATGTCCGCATCACTTGGTTTTAGAGTTGATGAGGTTGTTGCTTGCTTTAATATGAGAGGTGATTAGTGTGGCTACTGGTGTTGGACGTGGGTAGAGGAGAAAGTTAGACATGAATTGGGTTCTATAGTAAAGGATTGGTTGGATTGAGGGGTTTTGGGCTGTGGCTACTTGTGTTGGACATGGGTAGAGGAGAAAGTTAGACATGAATTGGGTTCTATAGTGAAGGAATTGTCGGATTGAGGGGTTTTGGGTTGCATGGTTAGTCGGTAAGAGCATGGACCGAATCAGAGGATTGGAAAGCTTCCAATTTCTATAGGTGGATCAGCAAACTAGGCTTGTGGAGGAAACATAGGGATGAAGGGCCAGACGGCTTATACGAATAGGTATAAGGAACCTTCGATCGGGATTGAAGGATCGAAGACTGGATCCAGATGAAGGTGTTCAAATGGCAAGTTTGGTACAGTGATGTTAAGATCAGGCTTCTAACGGAGGGGCTGTGGGCTGTGTGTGAAGATGGGATGCTCACGTACGAGATCGAAGCTGATGGGGTTTAGTCGGCGGTTTGTTCTGATGTGAGCAATGGAATAGATGAGTAGTGGAGTTGGAGTTCGGGACTTATGTGAAGGAGGTCGGGCGTTGTTGCAGTGGATTGAGAGGCTTAGATGGACGACTTCGGCACGATTCAGTTGGATGGAAGGTATGATTATGGAGTCGTCGTGGGCGCTGGGTCGAATCGAGAGAGATCGAGGGAGAGAAAGCTTGGGAGAAGAGGAGAGGTCAGAGCGGGATTCGGGAGAGGAGTTGCGTAAGAGGCCGAAGGCCTCGCTACTTTTGGGCTTTTAACGACTCGAATGAGTCGTGCCAGCGATCGTGGGGAGAAATGACGCGAAGCGTGGCCTCGACGTGCGAAATGCGGCGATGACGTGCGACTGCGTGGGATGGCATGTACGTTGATTTTTAATTTTTTTTTTTTTTCTCTCTTTTGTTTTATACAACAGGTCAACATTAAAATAAAAATTTAAGATAACATAGGACAATCATGACCGTCGATCTTCAGCTCCTCCTCGGATAAGCATGGACGGTTTGGATGTCCGCATCACTTGGTTTTACAGTTGATGAGGTTGTTGCTTGCTTTAATATGAGAGGTGATTAGTGTGGCTACTGGTGTTGGATGTGGGTAGAGGAGAAAGTTAGACATGAATTGGGTTCTATAGTGAAGGATTGGTCGGATTGAGGGGTTTTGGGCTGTGGCTACTGGTGTTGGACATGGGTAGAGTAGAAAGTTAGACATGAATTGGGTTCTATAGTGCAGGATTGGTCGGATTGAGGGGTTTTGGGCTGTGGCTACTGGTGTTGGACATGGGTAGAGTAGAAAGTTAGACATGAATTGGGTTCTATAGTGAAGGATTGGTCGGATTGAGGGGTTTTGGGCTGCATGGTTAGTTGGTAAGAGCATGGACCGAATCAGAGGATTGAAAAGCTTGCAATTTCTATAGGTGGATCAGCAAACTAGGCTTATGGAGGAAACATAGGGATGAAGGGCCATACGGCTTATACGAATAGGTATAAGGAACCTTCGATCGGGATTGAAGGATTGAAGATTGGATCCAGACGAAGGTGTTCAAATGGAAAGTTTGGTACAATGATGTTAAGATCAGGCTTCTAACGGAGGGGCTGTGGACTGTGTGTGAAGATGGGATGCCACGTACGAGATCGAAGCTGATGGGGTTTAGTCGGTGGTTTGTTCTGATGTGAGCAATGGAACAGATGAGTAGTGGAGTTGGAGTTCGGGACTTATGTGAAGGTGGTCGGGCGCTGTTGCAGTGGATCGAGAGGCTTAGACGGACGGCTTCGGCAGGATTCAATTGGATGGAAGGTGTGATTATGGGGGGTGATTCGACGAGAGAGAGCAGAAGCTACGGGTTCACGTCGGTTGTTGGATCGGAAGTTGGATATTTTGAGTGGGCTTGAGTGCGACTTTAGGATCGGTGGTGATGATTGGGTTGTGCGAGTGAGCGGCTTGAGGCTGTGAAGAGGGATCAGGAGGCTGAAAGCTGTTATGGAGATCGGGTGAGGAGGATTTGATCACAAAAGTTGTGCGGCAAAATTTGAACTGAACGACTTCAACTTTGTTCTTGTTTTATCAACGAGAATGGGAACAAGATTGAGGCTGCCGCGGCATTTGCGGGAAGCGATTGCATCGTCAGTGCAGAGCGTCTGAGGGTTTAGCGGGATTTTCGTGATTTCTTCGATAGGATATGAGGTAAGATTTTCATTTGATTTTTTTTATTGATTAATTATTATAATAATTATTATTAATGATAATTAAAATTATTATTATAAGAATTAAAAAATGAAATGGAAATTTACACGTATCAAAATTCGTGTTGATGCCTTGATTTGCATGCATTTTCTCAATGTTCATGCATTGTTATCTCAGGATACGCGTTGAATCTCTTGCGCAATTTTCGTTAAAAAAATTAGAATAATTTTTGGGTATTGTTGACTTTCTGAATACAACAACAAAGTTTGTTTTACAATTGGACGTCATTTGGGCAACATCGAGTGTGAATTTTGGGTGTTGGTTGCTGATATTGACCATTTTCGCCTGAATTGATTACGAGGGTTTCCTCTTAGGTAAATTCGATATTGTGATCGCAATGATGCTATATGTTTGACGATCGGGGAGGTTGTTTGACCCTTTATATGGCGCGTCGTGTTTGCCTACCGTTACTTTAATTGCCAATTTTCGCTCTTTTCGCATGTTTTTGGTATGTGGGTAAACAGGGACATACAAAGGAGACATGTTGGAAGATTCATGAAAAACCAGCTGATTGGAAGACAAACAAATCAACACAAGAAAGTAAGGCGAACTCTGTCAACACCACCCAAGATCAATCCATCAAAGATGAAACCATTTCTTTCATCAAGGAGTATTTAGAGATGCTGAAGTTGCTTCTTAACAACATCACAAACCAATAGTCTCCAGAACTTTCTACTAGCCTACCCTCTCAATTATGTATAAAACAGTTGAAACTTTGAGTTATTGACTCAGGAGCATCAGATCATATGACATGAGACATTACTTTCCTTCATGAGTATCAACTTTATCATTCAAATTGAGTAGTTAAGGTTGCTGATGGCTCAACATTCAAAGTTTTGGGAACCGGTTCCACTTTTGTCATAGAAGATATCACCCTTAAATCATTGCTTTATGTGCTCAATCTTGAGCGCAATCAGATTTTTATTATTAAATTGACTCGTGATAGTAATTGCTTAATAGATTTCTCCAATAATATATGTATTTTTCAAGAATTGGGTTTGGAGAAAAAGATTGACAGTTTTGAGATGTGTTCTAGGTTATACGGCATCAAGACACCCAAATCTAAGTATCATCTAATGTAAGTCAATTTGTTGAGAGTCATTCTATAATCAATTATGATAGAGGGATTATCATGTGGCTTTGTAGGTTAGGTCATCCAAAATTAATGTATCTTGAAAAGTTTTTTTGCCATTTATTTATTAATAAAAATTCAAGTTTGTTCAACTATGAAACTTGTCAATGGGCTAAACATAACATATCATCTTACCCAATTATTCATTACCAACCTTTTAAACCATTTGGCTCGATCTATAGTGATATTTAGGTTAAAAATATAAGTGGTGCAAGGTGGCTTGTAATATTTGTTGATGACCATATTAGACTCACTTGGGTTTATTTAATGGGAGAAAAATTTTGGGTTGAAAGGATATTCAAATTATTTCAACTGATGATTCAAAACTTGTTTGATAAAAAAATTCGAATCTTAAAGCCAGACAATGGGAGAGAGTACTTTTCCTATAAGAGGTACTAGAAATGGCATCCCCCCTCTCTCTAGTTCTCTCTTTGTTTAACTATGTAAATTATAAAACCAAGCCATCACACACACATTGTCCTCTCTTTTTTTAGAGGTCAGAGTTTTGTGGTTTTCAACAAAATCTGCCTTATGTGCAAGTGTGGGTTTCTTGCAATTATTATAGACTGAGAAGTAAAAGGAGTTTTTGCCCGCCTAAACTTGCCTAATGCCCAGATCTGTTAAAAGAGACAAACTAATTGATTGTAGAAATAATCTTGTCCCTTAAGTTTAAGGGCCTAACAGTGAGTTTGGGTGTTATTAACTCCGCCCTAAACCAGCCTTGATGCTTTAATCTATTAGAGAGAGGAGAAAAGGGTGAAAGAAAAATAAATTGTTTGATCATATAAAAATACTATTGAAAATGCCCCGTTAATGATGTTACTATGTTTTATCTGAATGTTAGCATGTGTTAATGGAGAAAAGCCTATATGAAAACTTATTTTACCACATGAGGGACATTGCAATGAGTTTTGAGAGAATAGGCAGCCAATGGTTTCTAGCTTCATTGTGGGGCCTAGATGTGATTTTAAGATATAATATGCATAAGTTAGATGATTTGAAGATTGGTTCTCTTATTAATCGTACTTGTTAAGTCAAATTTTAATTGACTTTATGCATGGTCAGATCCTTGGTATATGGAAGTTGGTGAATCAATTGTTAGCTCTCTCAATCGCTATGCCAAAGTTACAGGTGGTTTTGCTAGCATTAGAGATGTTACAACAATGCAGCAGGAAGATCATCAACACAGTTTCTTTCTTTCTGAAACGTGAGTAATCTTGTTGCCTACTTGTCATGGAAAATGTGATGATTACTTATTACGAAACATGATGTGTTAAATTCATAATCTTTTTTTTTTTTTGTCGCAGTTGTAAATACCTCTATCTTCTTTATGATGATACCTTTTTAGCCGGCCAAAATTATATATTTACTACCGAGGGGCATCCGCTGCCCATAAGAAGCTCATGGCATGAAAAACTACCTGAATCTTATATTCCACATAACTGGACAAGGGTTAAGGTTATCTTTATCATCTTCTTATATTCGATATCTTTTTGGCTCAAATGTTTCTTTTTTGTTCTATTTATTATTCTATTTGCATGTTTATGCAACTCATTCACCTTATTTCACCTGTTCCAACTGCTTGTATTTTTCTTTGAAATGAGTTATTTAAATTTTGTCACTGTAGTGAGTGTTTCAAATCAAATATTTCATAGAAAAAAATACTGGAAAAATGATATGATGATTTTGAATCTCTATTACATTTAATTAATCAGTCAAATACTAATTGAAAATTTTGGTTCCTTGCATCCATTTTGTGCTTAATCTTGTGAGCATAATACCATCAAACTTATGCCCAACATAATTGCTTCTTGTAGATAACCACTTTTATTTGTTTAGCTAGTTTTATGAACCAAGATGATGAATTGAATGCTCTGTTACAAATCATCTCTCATACGATTTCACTTAAATTAGGTCTCTTTATGTTGATTTGATTCCATGGCAATAAATGATTTGAGTATTTACTTACTAGCAGTGTATATCACTTCATGATTTTTTGTCTTTAACAAACTTTGAATCCTTTTGAGACTTCTATTAACGACATTTTAAACATAAGCAGATTAGGAAAAGTGTAAAATGGCTTGAGCGAGTGAGTTTCTTGGATAAACAACAATGTACTTCGCACTTGCTTGGGTTTGGTCAGTGGCCATTGGCATACACACCCTCGTGCATTGCATGTGTGTGCATTTGGCAATCTCATCTATGCAAGTGCGACAAGTAGTGCATTTTAGTATATTGCTCATCAGTCCTTCAGATTTAGATTGCCTTCTTGACTCAGTATTCTTGATTTTGTAGTCTTTAGAAAATGCAAAGCTTAGTTATAGATTACCATTAAACTACTTCCTTGGAGATTGTTAATTCCATCGAGTTCATCCTGCAAGCCAATCTTTAATGTCACATCGTTTGCCGTATGCTAGCTATTTGGGTTTCAACGCTATGAATCCTCTTACGTAATGTTGTGAAAATTAGACCTGGCAATGAACCTGAAGGAGTGGTTAACGGTTCAATGGCTGAACCGGGGTTGAATCGGATAATGTAATAAATATTAAAATTATTTAAATATAATATAAATTACATAATAAGGGTGACTTGTACCTAAATAAAAAGAAATATATAAAAAATTTGTGTACCTGGCCGACATCAGCGCCGAACTACACACGATGCCTTCACCTCCGGATGTCTAGCAATGCCTTTTTGCACGACTTCTCCGCGTTGATGCCATACCTCTCCCATGACGCTATCTGCACGATGATATACGAGCAGCCTTGCGTCGTTAAATGTCGAAGGAAGACGAGGCTTTGGGCGCTGATTTTTGCTCCCCTTTTCGTGTTTCTTCGTTTCCTTCGTTACTGTTCGACTTTGCTCCGTCGACAACGTTCCATTCCCTGTTGAATCGGAGGTTACAACATTTTGGTCGGGTACAAGAACGAAGAGCTCGCTTGCTGGGACGGTAACTTTCTCCCTTCCTGTTGCTTCTTGAGCTCCTTCGCTGGTCTTCGACTTCACTCCCCCGACGTCATTCTTGTAATTAGAGTTAATTTTAATTAATTATAATTTATAAGATTAATTATTATTAATTAATTACAATTTATTAAAATTAATTAAAACTAATTAGTTATAATTAATTATGGATTAATTATAACTAATAATTTTAATTAATTTTAATTAACTTTTAGTTTAATTAATTATAATTAATTAAAATAATTTATTAATTAATTATATTTAACTAATATTAATTATAATTAATGCACTAAAAAAGACAAAAATGCTCCTCCCGCCTCGGCTTCCGTGCCCTCCACTGCTAGTCCGCCGGTCTCCAAGGTATAAGTTTCTCCACGGTGAGGGGGAATCTAGTGCAACAAGTGCTACGAGGCGGGTAAGCCCTATATACGCTCTTATAGCATGGTGGGGACTGTCCTCGACCTCGACATCGGCGCCAACGACTGTTACGCAAGGTATAATCTCCCAAATCCCATTCTCGAATTTTGTATCGGACCAGAGAACCACCTATACGCGCTCTTGTAGCACCTTGTAGCACGGTAGGAGGGAGCCCGGTGCGACACATATGACGAGGTGGTGAGCCCTATACACGCTCTTGTAGCGTGGTGGGGAAGTCACTGGTGTTCTCGTACGGGTACTGCTGAAGACCCCATACACGCTCTTGTAGCATGGTGGGATGAAAAGATGTACGGTCGCGGTGTCTAAGGACACATATCATACACGCTTGAGTAGCGTGGTGGGAAGGCCCAGCTCCCCTACTTTCCCCCAAAAGGGGGATATGCCGGGGTGTTGCCTAAATTTTCACTGAAATGCACAAGACTTGAACAATTTGAATACATCATTTGAGCAGCAATACGAAGGACAATAGAGGACCCGTACTTGAACTGAAAGCATAGAATTTGGACTCAAACGAACAGTGGACTTGAGAACTTGTACTTGAACACAAATCAAAATGAATTCAATTCAAACTTGAACAAAATACAATTTGGAATTCAACATAATACAAGGACCTAACTAGGACTTAAAAGAACTCAAACTTGAACTCAAATGAATTGAACAAGGTCACTTGAACTTATACTCTGGACTCGAACATAGCGAGTACTTGAGTCGGACTACAGGGGACATAGAACTGAGCTTGCACATTAAGCTTATGAACCTGATTTGAACTGGACTTGAGGGGACTCATACCTAGTCTGATTTGAACATCATCCCCCCCCCTCATATTTGATATCAATCAAACTGCAACATCTTTTACGGATGTATTCAGTGAAGCATACAATGAATGTAAATGCCTGCTAGTGTCAACAATCATCCGATCGAAGACCAATATATGAATCCCTTGTAACTGAAAGTTGGTTGGTTAGCAGATCAAGTGCAAGTGCCTACGAATATGAAATGACCACATTAAAGAATAAATCTCTTTATAAATAACTGTGGGATACCTACGAGTATGCATGAATGACAATGATATGCTTCCAAATGAATATCAAGACAAGGAGGATTGATGCACATATCAATCATACAAACAAGAGAAACCCCTTTATTGCCTTGAAAGACAACAAGGAACCTATTTTCAAATGTGGATTTGTGAAATAATGTGCAATACTCCTACAAGCAACATTGCATGCAGATTGAGATGGCAATACTGGCACTTGATAGTGGAAGACCTGTCCTTGCAAACAAGTACAATTTGCAAACAAGTACAATTTATGCCCACCTGAGATTGGTGAAAGGTGAACATGATGTGGGAATAATGCTCTTCTACGAACACTTCCAAGAGGTCGTAGTGGATACAACAAGTCCCTGCAAATAAATACGAGCTGCTTGTGGATAACAACAGTGAGTGTATCGTAAGTACAACGAACCACTGTGGACACAAGTACGGATATCACCTACGACAACGGTGATTAAGATCTTCAAGTATGTCGGGTACAAGGGCAATTCAATGTACGAAAAATGACACCTCTTGGCAGAATGGAAGGGATGCTCGAACAAATTAGAACTAAATTTCCTGGTGTTCCAAAGTCTCTTCTTAATCATATACTTAAGAAGAAAATAATTCTGGTGTCCACAAATATCGGAAGTGACAAGTCTAGTACACTAAAGAGCTTAAAAAGAGTCTATTTCAAGGCAGTGGCCACGGATTTCAAGGAAGCCATCCCCGGTGAATAAGAAAGGGGGAGTCAATATCAAGACCAAATCGCCATCGAATCTGCAACACTTATGCAAGCAGATAGAAGGCGTCCACAATCTACAACGCACCGTCACCGGATCCGCAACACTCGTATTAGCGGACAGAATGCGTGTATAAGCTCTCAAATAAAATGTTGTGTACCCAAATGACGATTACTTGCACAACTACAATTATTTCGGTGTACCCCTGCACGTGTATTATAAATTGTATACACATAGATACACTAAAGGGGAAAATACAATCTCAACTCGCATGGGCCCCGGCGAGCGTGTTATAAATACACGCGTGACGTCTAGGGATGCTGCGCGGTTCAATAAGTGAATTCAAGTTCGAATCCGATCCTTCTATATGGATCAATAGAAGTCGACAGTGTTCGAACTATCAAACAAATGCACCGTTGTGGTGGCCGATGTATTTGTTTTAATATATTCATATTAGGCCTTCAAGGCCTATAATCAAGAGAATTCACAAATAAAGGCATGAAGCCTACGAAACCCAATCCCTATCGGTAGGTTGATAAGGTCGACAAGGTTTAGTTAATGAATGACCCCATACCTCGATGATGGCCATGTTGAATGCAAATCTCAACCGGAGGGGTTTACAAATACTTTCAAGCTTCACCCAAATACCCACAATCCAGAACTCTACAAAGTCCAAAATCCTAAAATCTCAAAATATTTAAAATTGAAACTCAATCATCAACCACTCGAAGCAAAATCCACACCCTCCGCAACAGTTTGCTGAGGTGGAAAAATTAAAATATACTTCAGCTCACATAGAGCTAATGCCTAGTCGAAAATATTACTAGGATCCATTCTCAAGCAATCTCCTACCAATAAGGACATGGTACGTGTCCTCTAACCGACGGTTTTGCCGCCAAATGGCATCGCAGGATAAACGGTTATGACTCGGAGCCCTCTGAACCGAGTGGTTTTGCCGCCAAATGGCACCACGAAATACCGGTTATGGCCAGAACCAATATGTTCCTTATTGGCATCAAATCTTTGAGACATGAATCAATAGGATATAATCGATAGGGCACAAAGCCCTCTGTTAGCTAAGGTGGATTCAAATTTCTCCCTTAGGCAAATATTCACCCCAGGTCTACAAGGTCCCCTTGGACGAAGCAACCCATAGCTGCCGACAAGGATCCTTCTGTCAGGTTGGGTCGACTACCTCCTCTAACTAAGTATACCAGGGACCATGATGGTCCGGGACGACGGAACCATGGGATCTTGATCGTGTCTATCATCCATTCCCCCACCATCCGCTTTAAGTGCAAGATGGTGTAATTTTCATTTTAAATATCAAACCTTTCCAAATATCCAAACCTTCAAACTTCCAAATTTTGATTGCCCATTGCTGCTACTATATGCCAAATCCACGTATATTATACGTATCTGATTGACGACTAGCCTTAATCGAAAGTTCTCTCTCGTGATCGGGAGGGGTAATTAATTTATATAATAAAATTTTATTTAAATAAAAAAAATATTTATTGAACCAGTTAGTTCGGCCAAATCGGAACTATTTTGAACAAATACTAGGCCAAGTACTCCCTCTTACATGGATGGGGAAATATTTTGAGCTATTTTAACCTTCTTCATATTTAAATTTTGAATCCCCTCTTGCAAGGAAATAAAGCTGGACAGTTTTTTGCTTTCAAGGAATAAAAATGTCTTTAACAATTCTTGACTATGACCTGATGTCTCCTTAAAATCTGAAAAATGTTTAAGTTAAAGTTGAAGTTCATCAACCTTTGAATGGCAAGCCATAAAGCCCTTGCTTTTTCCCATCTATGCTCTTTGACGATGGCTGTCTTCGTCTCCAATTTTTGTATACCATGCAGCACGACTTTTTTGTTAAATATCTGATTCCATATCAGTTTTCAAAACTTTAATCTTTGATTCCGTAGCAGATTGAAAACTAATATGCAAAGTTGCTAAGAATCATATGCTCTAGCAAACTTGCTATCCTTACGAGAGTCATAAGTTAATCTTCCCACTCTATTGAGGAATGTTGTAAATGGCTATAGCTTTTGTTAAGTGTGTTCTCTGATTCAGATGCTTTCACAATATCCAGGAGTATTACTCTTTTATAAGATGTGAGTTTAACCGTTACGAAAAATTTGCCTCACATTCAAATATTTTGATACATTGATGGCTACTTAATGCGGAATAATCTGATGGTTTCTGGGAAACAACACTTTTCCTCTTCTTTTGATTTGTGTACTTTCTATTTGATTTCTTGGAAATAATATTTTTTTCCTCTTCGTATCTTTCTTTTTGTTTACCAGACTTTTTTAATTCATTTTTTTGTAGTGAATAATTAATTCTGAAAATGAATTAAAATAGAGCGTAATTTTGGAGATTTCAAAATTTATCTGGGGAAGATAGATTCTTGAGGGCGAGCATGAACACGGCAAACCATGTACGATTATAGGCTTGAATTTTGTTAGCCTTTGCTACCAAATGAGTACTTAAGTGAATATAATGTTCTTATATATAATAAAGAAGTGTGACCTTATATTTGATATGCTTGCTATGATGACAGATGCATCATGGGGATCTTAAACTTTATGCTAAAATCTGCAAGTTGTTCTATGTTTCGGATTTATTTTTTAACATTATTATTTTACTATAAGAGAAGCATAATTCTAAGTTAAGTGTTGCAGAGATGAGGATGCTTAGGTGGATGAATGGCTTTACCCTTAGAGATAGGATACGAAATGAGCATATATGTGAAAAGGTTGGAGTAGATCCAGTGAAAGATAAGATTAGAGAGAGTTGCCTTAGATGGTTTGATCACATTAAATGGAGGCCTTCCGATGACCCGATTAGGAAAGTTGAGGTATTAGATTTGACTTATGTTAAGAAAGGTAGAGGTAGACCTAAAAAGACTTGGTTAGAAAATATTAGAAATGATATTTCTTTATTAGATTTAAATGAGAATTTGACTTTTAACATGACACAATGACTAAAAAGGATTCATGTAGCCGATCCCACGTAATGGGACAAAGGCTTGATGTTATTATTGTTGTTGTATTATTTTACTATTTTCTTGCCTTTCATAACAAGTGACAATGACATATATAAATCGGATCTTCAGTTTGATGTAGATCTTGGATATTGAACCAAGGGATTCTCCCTCCTATCTTTTTGTGTTCCTCTTAACGTTTATATTTTTCTAATATTTCCCTGGTTCTTTCTGCTTTAGATTCGTGAAATTATCCTGCATCAAATTTCTATATAATTAGCATGTTCAGATAAAATATTTTTACAAAAATACTGTCAACTTTTTTTTTCCCCTTTCCAGTGTATTATCATTGATGCATCATCCTTCCGCCTTTACAGAAAGCAAGATTGAGTTTGTTAATCTTCTTGCAGAATGAAGATGATGTGCTTCACGTTAGTTCTATGTCGTTGCAAGTTTGTCCAGTGACTGTCCCTGAAAATAGTGGTCGTGGGGTTGAGAGTGCTTGCCATATTCCTGATAATCATGTTGATCATAGGTGTAGAACTGATGGTGAATGTGGTATTGATTCAACAACTTGTAGACAAAGAACGTGCAGTATTGCAGGCTATTGTGGACTTTGGGTGTTCATAGATTAATCTTATTACTGCAGACGATAAACAAAGGATAGTTCTTTCCCATCAGGAATAAAATGAAATCATAAGATGCTATTTAGCCAACTCACTGTACATTAGAGAAACAAAACAGAAGTCTCGTAACTTTTTGCAAGGCTTTATAGGGAATGGATTAGATTCTTGTCATTCAGTGTCAGAGGGTATAATAAACAGCATCGATGCTCCCAGTTTAGTGCGGCAGTAGCCATAAACCTATACGTACGTTCAGTTGTTACTGATTATTGTAACCATTTATCTATAAGGTTTCGTTTGAGACGGCTTTTTTATTGCTTCTTAAAGCAATTTTCTAGTAAAAAATTAAAATTTTTATACTAGAAAGTCGCTGTCACAAATAAAGCCTAAATATCATTCTGGCTTTAAATACTTTCGGGTGTGAAACAATAATTGCATTTTGTAATTTGGGTGCTTGGGGGCTCCTACCTTTGTCAACAAACAAATGAGGGATACTAAAAAAATTTTTTCCTTAAATATTATTTGTACTTGGTTGATTATCCTTCGTGATGATTTCATATGTAGTTGTATCATGTAATTGGTTTCATATAACTTCATTTATGCATTTACTTATTGCGACGTGTTATCTGATTGCAGATTTATGTTGACATTCTGAAAATATTTGCTTCAGTGTTTTCAAGGTTTAGGCATTTGGATTTGGGCCAACATGGCTTTCTGTGTCTGGAATCAAGTTTAAACTAGCTATTATCTGAACATTTTTTTATGTTTTACTTGTTCTTCTATTTAAGTATATATATTTTTATTTGTTTTTATCTGACAAGTTGATATTTCATTTGTTGTTCAAATTCAAATTTCAAACGGCATTCACAAATCAAAATAAAAATTTGCAAGTGTGGACTACAGGATTAGTTCCCCTTTCATTTCCTCTTACTAGGGGATTCATTGAACCTTGAGATCAAAACTCAGGTTCAAATCAACTCTTATCACGCCTAGAACAGAAGGGATTGGGGCCCTTCGCTTGAGGATTGGATGCCACTGAGCAAGTTCATGGGATTAAGCTTTGAAAACTGCTCCCATTGTTTGTGCATTTCGGGGTCGGTGGCTAGAGAAGAGAGGGCTTCAAAGACGAGAGCAGATCATTCACCCAATTTTTGGCTGACAAGAGGGAAAGAGGCGAAAGGTTACTAACCGGAAGAGAATTCGTTGAAGACAGTATAGAAATCCCCTCCCTCAAAAAGGTAAAAAAGATAAAAAGAGTTTATGTTGTTTGCCTTTACTGATTATTCTTAAAGAGCTAAAAACTCAAGCCCAGAGTTTAGGAAGCAGTGGAAGAGTTCAGCAGCAGGATATGGGAGCAAACAAGGTATGACCACATGAGCAGTCTTGGTAGCCTTTTCGGCAATAAAACATCTATTGTATGGTGATAGCCTGTTAACAGCTTCTGTATATCACAAGCAGGGGTGTCAATTTTTGACACGACCCGAAACACGATCCGAACCCGAGCCGGAAAAATCCGGGTTATGGTCAACCCGGACCTGAAATGGGTCGGTGTGGGGTTCAACAAATCAACCCGTTGTAAAAATTGGGTCAAGTTTGGGTTGACCCAGCAACCCGAAATTGACATGAAAACTCGTATTTAACCCGAAAATCCGAGATTGACCCTTTTTGACCCGAAAATCGAAGATTGACCCAATTTTTTATCCGAAAACTAGCAATTTTGGGTCAACCCTGGGTCATTTGTGTAGGGTCGACCCGGACCTGAGTCGGGTCAAGTTCGGGCCCGAGAACCTGGCCCGTTCAGGTTGATCCGAATAGTGTCGGGTCAGCTCCGGGTGGTCAGCTCCAGGTTTTATCTGAACCCGACCCGTTGACCTGAATTGACACCCCTAATCACAGGTTAGTGAGCAGTATTGAATTTCTAAGCAGAAGACTTGTCAAAATCCCATGGAGGTGGAAGGTGCAAACCTGTAAGGCACACCTCCTCTAACTCTATAGTAAAGGTTAGTCTTAAGCCCATCTTATACCATAAGCAATGTGCTTGATCTGGCTTGATTCCATAGTAATAACTAAAAAAATAGCTTTACGTTGCGACTGATTTTTTTATTGCTTCTTAAAGCAACTTTTTTTAAATTAAAAAATAGTTTTAAGAAGCAATAAAAAAATCATCCCAAACGAAAGCCTAAATCTCCTATAAATATATAATGCACTGTCCTATGAATGAGTTTCTGAAAACCTTATGAAACCTTAGCCACTAATAAGAGAATCGCAACCTACCTGCCAAAAGCTAGTGTTGCTTATGTAACCTTTTGTGGAAAAAATTTCCTTCTTGAGTGGATTGTTCTTATATTCTTTTTCGCACAACTTACCCTACTACCTTATACAAAATCCACAATCCCTTAAATTTAGTATGGGAAGATTCTTAATCAACCCTATTGAAAGTATCTTACAAAGCCATTAACTATTTAATACATTAATGTTTACTATTTATATATTTATGTTTGATGTTCTCATTAATATATAATTTATATATAAAAAAGAATCAGTGTAGATTAATCGCCTATGTACCTTCAGGCAATTTGAGATGATATAAGTCGTCATGGCCTATTTAGGCTTTGTTTGGGACAGCTTGTTTACTGCTTCTTAAAATAAATTTTTTACAACAAAAAATTTATTTTTTGTACTAAAAAACTGTTTTAAGAAGCAGTAAAAAACAGTCCCAAACGAAACCTTAATTGAAGTGTACTTTGCAAGCCAAGATCGCTACCCATCATCCATGTCTCAAACTATAGGGATTTTATGTATATCAGAGGCCTGCATTGGGTACCCATACTCACACCCACCCATGTACATTGGGTATGAGTGGGTATGGGTATGTCCATGGCCTTGTGGGTGGGTACTCAACATCGGGGGATAAATCGATTTACATTGCTAATCACCGTATATCTTATATTACTGCAATCCTCACTACATAGTGTGCAACACTTAATCATGCTGCAACTACAGTAAATTCTGATTTGCATCTTGAAAGTTTGCAATCAGAGCAAAGGGCAACAAGCCTCAAAGCCATCAATTCGTGGCAGACTGCGTTCAAAAAGCATGAAAAGTGGGTGGGTATAGGTGGGTATGGCATTCCGAAAGTCACCATGTGTGGGTGTGGGTGGGCGAAGCCCATCCGAGTAAAGCATGGGTACCCAACTAGGACCCCCCCCATGTAGGACTTCGATGTAGATCCACCCTCCAATTAGATTTCTTTGAAAGGAGAGAAAATCACCCTTTGATGTGAGGGTTATGCAGTTCACTTCAACACACTCAGGGTTGGGACATTAATGCAAATAGAGTAAATGAGGGCATTAGCATAAGAATTTGCCTTTGTGCCAGAGATAATGGAGGAATTAGTGATAATAAAATTCAATATTCCTCATCTAAATCCTTATCACCACACAATTGACTTATGGATCATCATAATGACGATGACCTTGGATCTAGCATTATGTGTGATCAAGTATTATTTTTACTAACTGCTCTAATGGATATAATGTTCTTTTGGTTATTTAGACCCCAACATGAAGTTAGTTGTTTCAAAAGCTTAAAGCGAAACTTGTTGCTCAACTCTCAAGCTTTTAGGAGCTAAAGAAAAGTTGTCAATTGCTCCTCAACATTCAATAAAAGAAGCATGAATCCCTTAGGGCTTAGGCAATAAAGTAATTAGGGGTATATTAGAGGTCTATGATTTGCACTCTTCAAAATGCCAAGAGGATTTAGTCCATGATTATAAATATTCAATTTTTGAGTATTAACTAGTAACATTTATAAATGCCTGTCAACATCATCTTTCGGAGAGAGAAAATCCTTCTCTTAACATTGCCCATCAGTTGGTCTACCAAGCTGACAAACTATGAAAATAATTATAACTAAAAACAGAGGTAGTACTTTGCACTGGTTCTGCCTAACTAGCACTCTGCTCATCGTCCTATCTAGGTCTATCAAATCAATCAAAAAGTCATACTGAACACACAACTGAGCAGACATGCATATGAAAATAAGCAAAAATGAATACTCAAATATTACCCAAAACCATCTTACTCGACTATAAATCACTTTCTACAGCTCTGTTTTACAATTAGTTTTCCCAAAACCTATGCTCTAGTACTAAGAAGAGACTGCCACAACCCAATTCAATATGACCCACAGACAAACAGATTATACCGCGTTGAATTAGGACAGACTAGTCCAAAATCTAAGTTCTAAGAAAAACTAATCAGAATTCTTCTATTAATGTATACATACCACATAGCTTCTAATTAACTTCATTGAACAAAATAAATTTAAACTCATCCACATGTTTCCTTTCATTTCGTTTATTTATATATACAATATTTACAATACAGTATATAATTACATAGACCCCAAACAAAGAAATAAAATAAATAGCAATGACTATACAAAAATCATGAAAATACTTATACAAATTCAGATAAATCAAATCCTAAATGCTTAGTTACTTAAATGGCTCTTTTCTTTTCCCTCGACCTAAAGAGAAGACATAACATATGTGAAAAAATATAGCTCAATAAGTCACACCTATCATTATAAATTTCTAATAATTCATCTATTCAGCATTTAACTTGAAGGTAAACGAAGTTCCTAAGAAATATATTGGACTGAGCATAATATTAACCACAGATATCTGAAATGAAGTAGACTAAATAGTATAAATAAATAAATAAGTATTTCATATATCATAGCAGAAAATAAAAAATTTATGTTAGGCCATTATACCTCCCATCATAAATAGACCCTTATGACTCCCATGCTCGCATATCAGAAAATATGCATTTATAACTCTCAATTCCAACACATATCAGATATTCAAAAATTCAGGCTCTTATGACTATGTATTAAGCACCAAAATGAAACTTCAAGAACATAACATCCACCACACATTAGATATCCTTAGAGTCACACATTTCAAAAAGATAATTATATACATTATTGCATTATAGCGAAAGAAATGTAAATAATCTAGTTTTAGAATTTCATAGAATTCTTTAAATGTAGGCAACATAACTATCTACTAAGTAGAGTTTTCATAATTTTAGAATATCACTAAATTAAGAGAGATTGTTCAGAATACTATTTTCAAACATAAATTGTACCATAACATTATTATTTTTTTGGATTGGGATTATTTTCAGAATAAATAAAATAGCATATTTTTTAAACTACCCACTGAAAAGTTTTCAGAAAAAATACCTAAATGTCGGGAACTGTCATATCTATAAATAAATAATATACATAAAGTTACACGGTGTAAGTTTTTACAGGTACAAATTTATCTCATTTTTTTCTTAACAAAAATATAAATTAAATTAAAAAAATCCAAAATTCTCATATTTTTTAAACAAGAGTTAGACAGAATATAACCTAACTTGAGTCGAACAACTTTCAAATTAGGGTTGATAGTAAAAATTGAACTAGAGTTGTCCAAATTCTAATTAACTTTCTCTCACTACAATCTTCTCTCTCTCTCTCTCTCTCTCTCTCTCTCTCTCTCTCTCTCTCTCTCTCATTG